GAACTTCAAACAAACCTTACGATGATAAATAATCAACGTAAGACATTGTCTTATTGGAAAACTTTAAAATGTTATAAGCAAAAGTTTCGTCCAAGGAGAACGCTCTTCATTATAAAGCATTCGGAAAATCCCCATACGATATTCATTTTCCACTACATACTACAATTTAAATTCTGGTATCTCTTGTGTAAGCGCTACTTCGCTAGTTCAGCCATTTGTTAATTAATTACAAGCCGCTGCATTTTGGCTCAAGTTTTTTATATGACTTATTAACATTGCAGCAGCCGCAATATTTGCACTGCAGCCCGAAATGCTGGCACATATGCAGTAACCATTATGCAGACAACTTTTAGGGTGTTTGCACTAGTGCACACTGTACTTGTCCCTGACTTTGCAATGCGGGTGGCGACAAGAGGAGTAAAGAGGGCTTAACAGTTGACTTTACCAACTACCGCAGCATAATGAATATTATGGTGTTTCGAAATTGTGTCTACATTTTTAATATAGCACTCATAATGCTTGTGGGGCACTTTGCTGTAGCTGAGTTTATTTCCATAAAAAGTAGTCGCATATGCTGCCGATGCAAAAGTGTACACAATTAAGTTGTCAATTGTAACGTAATTGATTGAATTTAGTGCTACACTTGCCACACATCATTCGATACCCAATTAAATGCAATTTGAACAACTTGAGTATCGGCAGCATTGCAAAATCCTTTGCACGGACACAGACTGTACCGATTCCCAGCAGCCGACTGCTGCAAGCCAATCCCATGAATATTCATATACCTCCGAATGCTGCCATGTCCTAACGAACCCGCCCACATTGTCGCCATAGAACACTGTATATTATGCTATACCTTATCGTCATTCCCACCCTTGGGGCTGTGTCATCCCATTGCCATTGTCGTTCCTATCTGCGCAGAGTTTCACGCACACATGAGCACACAAATGATCACAGTCATCGGCAGTCAATGCAAACACAAAGCGAGCAGCGAGGCATCCACGAAATACATCCTTAAATCTACATAAACATACTTAGATGAATACGCACATATACATTTGTACATAAATGTATAATGCATGTCACAGCAGAAGTTTTCGGTTTGCTGTACGAAAATATTGCTCATGTTTATCGTTAATCACCAGTAAAACAAAAGTATTTTCAACCAAGGGTATATCGGTTTAGAATCGCTTTGTTTCGCATCCTACATATAGCTATGAGCCAACCCGCGCAAGCAAATACTGAATTAATTGAAAAAATTCTTAAAAGTATGTTATATTAAAATACACGAACTGCGTGTAGGGTTCGAAACAGTTCTTTTTAGCTTTGTTTTTTTTTTTTTTTTGCAGCCCTGATCTTAACGAATGCTAATCAATATTCCAATATTCGCTCGTAATGTGCAGCATCATGAAATGTTTCTTTCCTTAGGCATGCTTTTATCATGCTTGTTGAATACAGGGCTCAAATTGATTCCATATATACATATGTATCTCGTGCCGCCTAACAATTTTTAATATGTCGCGATGTCGTTGTATTCTATCCCCTTTCTCACGTGACTACATTTGTTAGTGCTAGTTTTTGAGCATGTAAATATTATCAAGTGTCTTTGGCAGCTTTTCGCCTGTCGCATCCAACATACCCACACACACACACACACACACACACACATATATATACACACATACATCGGAGCCGAATGATAAATGGATTTTACGCTTCTGCGCGCATCTTCCCATTTGAGTTACACAGATACTCGTTTAACTTTAGCTTCTGGTAGATGCTTGTCGAAAAGTATCTACAGCTCAGCTGTCTGTGTGTCGCGTTCATTTTCAAAACTTTCACGCATCAAACTCGTGCCAAGCCAAAAAATTGATTATATGAGACATATTTTAGATTCAACTACACACACTGAGTATGCATTCTTTCACTACTTTGATCACGCTGATAGTTAGATAGTTAGGCGTGGAATGCTATTATAATATAGATTATTTTTCGTAATTGTTATCGTTTTCGACAAATGATTTTTATGAATATAATATAACTTTAATTGAGTTTCGGATTAAGCATTTATATAAAGGTTACACGCGTATTTACATATGATTAAATTAATTTAAAATAAATCATATTTGCTTTGCCGCACACATATATTAAAATGAATTAACGGTAAATTGAATATTTAGCAAAGCGTGAACCAATTAATTTACTCAAATGCACAGTCAACAAAAATAATGTACATTTAATGCAAATATTTGCACTTTTGCGCAAATTTGTAATACTTTTTTAAGCTCGGTAAATCTTTAAATCAGTCTAACTATGGGATAGGTATTTGTGAATGTGTATGTGAGCGTCTGTGCAAGCATAACATGTATCCATGAGATAGGTTTTCAGCAAGGCCTAACACGATACTGCCATTAACATGATTGAGCCACAAAAACCAAAAATCCACAATCCACTAGAAATTTCCCAAGTAAACGGATTAAATTTCTGTTTTTCGACAAATAAAAATCAAATACCATCACGCGATACCCTTTCAAAGCATAAGTTGTCGATTCATTTAGCTATTGAAAGGCTTCATAGCAAAATGTAATATACGTTTAAGTTCAAGCAAAACCCAAATGCTTAATAAATTATTAAAAAATGGATGAATTAAATAAAATAGATTTTCGTATTCAGCTGCAAGTGGCATGGGCTATGAGCTAGCTGGTGGACTTCTTCGTAAATAGCGTATAATTATAAACTCTTGAGAGAGTATCGTAATCAATTTAAGCATTGCAAATATAAACAAAGTTCTCAGTTGGCCTGATAAAGTCGGCATGTTTGATTTGTGCTGACAACGCGCCAAGGCAAGGGGGCGTGCCGCAGGATGTACGTGCCTGTGTGTGTTGGGTGCATGAGTGAGTGTGTGTGTGTGCGTGTGTGTATGAGAGTTTGTGCCAACTTTGGCAATTCAACTGCCAAGCTTTTCTCACAAGAAAAGTTCGTCAGGTTGACGCGTGTCTGACTGACAAATATTTGCATGCACAAAAAATTGCGCTCAGCTGAAAAAAAAATATGTTTCCAGGCTTAACGCAGAAAAATGCTGTAAATTATGCTGATAAGTTGAGGCAGCGGCAGGAGTTGAATGAATAAAGGGCAACTTGTGCTGATGTTGAGTGCCGACAATCAACGCCACATATAACCACACACTTCTACAAGGTACAACGAACAAATTATTGAAATTTTATTCCTCAGCACATTTCACTTAATCAGTTATGCATAAATTTGCACGCACACAAATGCCCTCTAATTGGGCGCGCTTTGAAAACGGGTTCGCTGAGCTTAAGATAATTAATTCACATGGAATGCTGCCAGGGTCAGGTCAGAAATGTTAGCTTAAATGCACTTCAATTGTTAAACCCACACGCATATTGTGCGGTCAAGTTAGATATAATTACGCAGTTGCATACGGCTGGGTTGACACTTCAATTGATAGATGAATGTTTTGCCAGCTCCCTAAACATGCCAACTGATAGCTGCGGCAACGGCAATAACAACAACAACAACAACAACAACATTATTATTATTAGCCACGTTTGTGCTGGCAGCCAGTCGGCTGCATGTCGCTATCGTTATGGCCATCACTGACAACCCAGTGATAAACTGCAAGATGGCAAAACATCATGAAGTCAATTATATAATGACGTCGCACGTCGCAGTCGGCAGACGTCAGAGCCAGCGTCAGCGTCAGCGTCGGCGTCGGCGTCAGCGGCACGCCGGTAGTTAACGTCGCCTTCGTCAATGCTCTCGCTTGACATGCTCGTTACAATTTATGTTTTGTTTGTATTGGCGGGTCGCTTGGTTATTGCACATGGCAGAAACATGGGTCAGTGCCAGAAAGTAATAGGGCGCGCCGGGGCTGGGCGGAGCGAAGGGGAGTTGTTTGTGGTCGCAGCAATTTGGCGCACTTGTTGTGCCAGCTGCATGGAGCATAGCTGAGCCCGAATAGCTGTCAATATAATTGTCGATGCTCGAATAGCTTTGACGCTCCATAAACCAGAGCTCTTTGGCATTGAATGGGTTGTGCATGATAAACAATACAATGACAGTTATGTGAAATGTTAATTGTGATACAACCTTAAGCTCTTAACTTGGCATCTTTGAATTATTTCCAATTAAGATACAATACTTCATAATTAAAGCACATTTATGGCGCATTTGTATATTATTAATCTATAAATAGCAAATTAATTTGCAAAAAAGAAACACAAACACAATGAATTAAACGGGCAATTCGTTTGGCAAAATAATGCCAAATGTTCATAAATTATAATTGAAAAAGAATTGGAAAATAAATAAGGCCAATCGCTGGCCATTAAATTTAATAGAAAAAATTGAAACTTTTCCATTCGCCAGAGAAATAAATAATTGAGCAGAGATTCGCTTTTTTTTTTTTTTTTTTTTTGCAAATTATGTATTTTGTAATACGCTAGAGAGCTGCAAATATTTATATTTTACAGGCACATTAGCTGTCAGTAAATGCGCAATACAGAATATAAAAGACCTGGTTATCTGATCTTTTGCGGAATTCAGAGTAAAAAATTGTTATACGCATTATGTTGCATTCGACTCTGAATGAAAAAAAAAAAAATCGTTTTTTATTTATATACAGTGCCCGTTTGTGTATTCATAATATTTATTAATTTTGATCTGCGCAACTCATGAAAATATTATATTTCAAGAGTATGTTCATATAATACCCTATTATTTGGCAATTTGATTTATGCCTTTTGCAGCTCATGACAATCATTATTTTTGTAAATTAAACGCAGACAGTTTTTAGAATCTTTTGGTATTATTTATGATTTTAAGTCGATTAGATAATTAACGATACAATACATATTAAATAGACTTTGTCGAAACGGTTTCAAAACGTACATCTTAGCTAGAATACCCCATATGTGTGCCCAATATCGCAGATAACGAACGGGGCTTACACCTTAATTAACAAAATCTTTCAAAGCTCAGTTGAGTTTTGAGCTGTCTTTGAGAAGGTTGTCTATAATCAGCACAACAATATATAACATTAATACGTATTGTTTGAAAGAATAGAAATGAATATATTTATTGCGTTAATCTTTTTGCTGGCGGCTGCCCGAACGGGCTACGGAGCGAGCTTAAACTTGAATCAATTGCTGCCCGAGGTGCATAACGATAGATTCTATTACTTTGCCTTTGGAAGTAACATGTTGGCGCAACGGATTCACATTCAAAACCCCACTGCTGAAATCGTGGGTCCTGTTACGCTTGAGAATTACCGCTTGGATTTTGCAACGTTGCCCTTTGACAGGTGGGATGGGGCTGTGGCTACCATTGTGCCGATGAATGGTGCTATTCTTTGGGGCACGCTCTGGGAAATAGATATGATTAACTTGGCGGACATAGACAAGTAAGCGAGCATGAAACACAGCTGAAAATTGTATTGAGTGAGTGCATTTTTCTATTACGTATGCTCTACAGCCAGGAAGGTGTTCACCTGCAACTTTACAGACCCATCACCGTGCATGTTAAGCTGCACGGCAATGATACGGACACTGAGATTACCGCGAGGGCTTATGTACTAGTGCATCAGCCTGAGAACAATGTGCATGCCTTTGCGCCAAATATGGTGCCCGACGATCGACAGCCCTCTAAAACGTATCTACAGGTACTTGTCAAAGGTGCCATTGAAAGCGGCATTCCGGAGAGTTATGTCAAATTTTTGAGGAGCATTAAACACAATGGAAAAACGGTTAAAAAGCTGGAGCAGGCTCTTCAGGTGCAATCCGTGGACTTGTAAATAAAAACATGCCAAATTAAAAAACAAATTTGAAAAGAGTGGCAAAAGGTGTTAAATATTCTATTATTGGTTGTAGTCTCTGCTACTTTTTATTTTAACTGTTCCTTGAAATTAGCCGAGTTTCAAGCCAGCTATTGAAAATTAATTGCTGTGTGTGGACAACGCGGAATTACAACGCAACTTTTCAAATGCAACTATTCCCAATTCTTAGTCGATTTTCGAACCACCAATAGCTAAAGCCATATTTTAAGTAGCTGATTTTCAAACCTACAAAATCTAAAGCTTAATTCTATACGTAAATAATCAGCTGTTCATTTTATATAATAATTATAATACTAATCAGAATTTATGTCACCTAAATTAAGTTTTCCGTTTAAGATTTTTCCTAACGGCCTTTATTTATATAAGCTAGTTGCATTTTGTCTGAGTTAATTCTTGAAAAGGGAATATGATATATATATATATATTGTACATGTTGGTGCAATACTTTTGTTGTGCAGTGCTTAAAACTATGGCGATGGTTATGCTCTCTTATTGTCAAACTCAGTAGCATGCTGTCAGCTGTGCCAGCTACGACGTGTAAACAAAGATTACAGTTTCTAAAGTGACGTGTGTCGTTTATATGTAACTATTAGTTATAATTCGTACCTGAAAAACACTTATTCTATTGATATTTACAATTAAATATCAAGAAGCACGTAAGTTTTATTTAAAATAAAATAGCACATTTAGCGCTCATAAATGTCAGCTGTTTGTTTAATATACAATTTAAAAGCTCTGACGTGGAAAAAGCTTTCTGCAAATCGCAATTGTAAATTCGGACTAATTTAAATTAAATGAAAGTCAATTACAATACACTAAACTTTAATAGTAAATGACATTTCTTAAACCACTTTTTTTAATTTATTTAAGAATAAATATTTGTATGCCTTTAATTGTATTTATTAATTGTTCAACAATCCACATTTAGCCAAGAACACACCCCAAAACAGCTTGCATTTACACTGCTTGCGAGCAGTTCAGTTGTGTTCACCTGTGACTGCAAAACCATTGAATCCAACGGCCCTTAAATATCTTAGAGGGTTTCAAATTTAAGAAAGCTATTTGTAATGCATTTAGAAGACAACTCCGAGCCTATAAGGTATATATATTCTTGCCTGTCTGTTTCTATGCAAACGGTTTTCAGTCTTAAAGATATCGTGACAAAATTTTTTAGAGGTCTATTTGTTCACACGATAAAATCGGCTGCCTGGAAAACTATCGAACACAAAGAATTATCGGGAATGAATAACCTTTTTGGTTCAAAAGACACATTGACCAAACATTGCATTGACTACTTTTGAGGAGTAAATTAGTTGCAAAGTGAGTTTTCATGTGGAAAAGATATCTAGATCAATCGAGCTTCACTTTTCTTTCAGCATCAGCATAGCAAATTGAACTAATATACTGTACGGCTCTTATAAGTGGGAAAGATCGCAAAAACAAAAACCTTATTATGCTACATATTCCATTTATTCACAACAATCCATCTTGTATATGATTGATTCAGAGTAGATACAATTTTTTGACATACACATAATTCGACAAATTCGAAACTCTTTTTATAGATACACGCACACAAATCTCAACTCCAGCTAGCTTTTGCGTTGGCAACGCTCAGCCGGCAAATGGCCAATAAATTCTATTATTTTGGCTTTGGGAGCAACATGCTGGCCCGTCGCATTCACATACAGAACCCGACGGCGCGGCGCATCGGAGCCGGCAAACTGGAGGTGAGAGTACATGGAAATTTCTTTGATTATTCATAATAATCATATCGAGATCGTAGAACTATCGCCTGGACTTTCATGGCGTCGGTTCCAACAGCTGGCTTGGAGCGCCCGCAACGATTGTGCCCACGCCCGGCGGTCAGGTATTTGGCGCAATTTGGGAGATTGATATGTGCAACCTGAAGGATTTGGATGAGTATGCGCTAAACACAAGGTCAATCTTTGTACGATACTACAACCTAACTATTTCCCATACACCATAGCCAGGAGGGAGTTTCTGCTGGCATCTATATACCCATCAGTGTGCCCGTTCACTCGCTGACCGACAAAGAGGAAGTCATATGTCGCGCCTATCACCTAAGCAAACAGCCGGACACAATAGTTCATGAACAGTCTGCCGGTAATGTACCCCACAATCGTCAACCCTCTCACACATATCTCAAGGTGTTGGTCAAGGGCGCTGAAGAGACGGGCATACCCGCCGACTATGTCAAGTGGCTGCGCGGTCTGCACCACAACGGGAACAATGTGGAGGCTATGGAATTAAAATTGGAGCTATCCAAAGTAGAACTCAGCTAATATTGACCATTTCGTCAGCTATTAGTGTATGTTGCCTAATTATGAGATAGTGTGTGCATTCTTGTATATAAATTTCAAGAGTAAAAATTTGTATTATTGTCTACATTTATTAATGTGTATTATTGTGACATTTCGAAAATGTGCACAAAATTATAAGGCTATCTTGTTGAAGCTTGGCCCAGATGTTGGTTAGGAACAGCTTGCTATGTCGAAAATGGCAGAGTACGCTCAAGAAATGTGTACTTAATAATACAGATATATATATGTAGATAAAAGACAAGAGTGGTCTAGTCGGGCTTGCTGGACTAAGAGATACTCTGAACCTTGGTATGGTTATAAAATGATCATTTCCTGACAAAACTTTAAATTGGATAAAACACTGGATTGCGGTTACGAACAGCCTTCGTTATCGAACATATGCCATTCGATAATTGAGATATATTTTCTTTACTATTTTTGAGCACTTATTTCTCTCAAGGGCAATCTCCATTGAGAAAAGCAAAAACTTTGTCAAAAAACACAAACAAAAAAAAAATGAATTTAATTAATTTTAATCACTTATTTATGATGATTACCAATTTCCTGTCTCACAGCGCTGTCTTTCACAACTGAAAACTTGCCCGGGAACACGGACAGAAAAGTTTTTAGCTTTTTGGCTGGCGCTCCTAAAGTGCAATTAAAGTGCAATTTAGTGTGAGCCGAAGACGATGATGCTCCAAACAGTTTCTGTTTCTGTGTTCATGGACTTGGCCAAAAGTGTAGCCAACTCCAGACGGCCAGACGCTTAACGAGGCTCACCGAGGCGCCGCGTCATGTAGTTTGTGCATTGTGGACCTTGGCTTATTAATTTAAATTTCAAGTTCTGCGCTGCATAGTTCGCAGTGCAACAGCAGCTCGAGTGGGAAATGGAAGCTTAGCAGCCCAAGAGCTCAGCCCAAATTGCGTGCCAAAGTAATAATAAACATAATTTGGTGTGCACACTGTGCAGCTAATTTGGTACTGGGGGCAGCACTATGCAGATGGGTCAGCCCACGATTACAACGGTTACAACCTGCAACAGCAGCAATAACAACAACAACAACATCAACAACAACATGGGCAGCTCTGGGTTCTGAACTCTGAGGTGTCCAAGTGCAAAAGTTCGAGCACAATTCCGAGCTGGTGTTTAACAAAGTAAAAAGTTTGGCCAAAGTGCTGCAGGATGCCTTTGTGGCACTTGTTAGCTTGTTGTGTTGTTATATGCCCAGCAATTTGCAAGTAATATAGGGTATATTCGCACTGAGTGCCTAGCTCGCCCTATCGACTTGAAAATCGGCATTTGTAATCCTATGCTTAAATCTTATTAACAAGGGAGTACAACATCAATTAGCTGCCATAGGAACGATTGGTGGAAATATAGGTTCTTGGCTGGAAAACTTTATTCCTTAGCAAGATATCTTTTCCAAAAACAACATTTATACATTAAATTATGCTCATTATATATAGTTACATAGAAAACATTGATTAATAAAAAATAGAATTTGTATAGTTTTAGGGTTTTCAAGTTATCTCCATCAAACTCTGACATTTCTAACTTTACCAAAAGTGTACTCATTCTTCGACAGGCGTCCTTTCTGGTTCAACTTAATAATTGTTAACAATTTTAATATTTAATACTTGTTTATATTATCAAACTTTTCCCAGAGCATGCTGTAGTCGCTCATTTGTACAGGCTGCTCAGTTCTTGCTGTTGTTGTTGTTGTTGTTGCGGTTTTTCTTTTGTGTAAGTTGTAAATTAAATTTGCAAACGGTCTGGCAACTCTCGCCCTATAGTTTATAATCGTTTGGGAATTGAAATGCAGTCGATTCGAGAACGTCTGCAAGTTTCTGGCATTTTTTATTTGACTGGCCTGGCAACTTTTTAGCTCGGCATTTTTATTACATTTGGTGGCGCCCTCTAGAGCTGGCAGCCACAACTGGAATTGTGGCACGGGGGCTGCGACCACTCTATACTCTAACATTAATTATTTAAACTGCACTGCACCATAAACATTTAGATGGGCGCTTTGTAACATGTGGCAGCACTTCACACACACAAACCCTCACACACACACAAAGTGGCAACGCTTGTAATCATAAAAGTTTACGAGTTAAAAAACCAAATCAAAACGACAAGTGACGAAAATGTTCGAAGCCACGCTGACACTGGCCTCAGCTGCAGCAGCAGCAGGCCCATTTTGTGGGCACGGGAATTTAATTAAAATCAAGCCCGAATCCCCAACACCGCCGGCCACCCACCCAACCACCGAGGCAATTCACTAAACGGGTACGTTCTCAGGGCATCGTTTAGTTTCAATCAAAGTGGCGGCGAAAAATTTACGCAAATTGACAACAGAAGCGACTGGAAACGTCGTTGTCGCCCAGCCAAGAAAAGAAACGCTTAGAAGTGCCTACCCTGGTACTTCGTACCCCTCGCCGTTGCACAGTTCAGACCGTAATTGAAACTCATTAGCGTGCATTTTAGTGGCCATTTTGGTGCCTTTCGCAAGCCTTTGGCCAACCCTTTGGGGTACCATTTCCCCAACTGTTTCCAGCACGTAGTTTGTTGTGGGTTGTCCGTGGTTGTTGTGTGTGTGTGTGTGTGTGTGTGTGTGTGTGTGCGCGTGTGTGTTTGTGCGTGTGGTTTATGTGGTAAGTGTGTCATCATTATGA